TGATGGAAATGTATGTGCATCTCTGTTACAAAATGGAGAGGGAGAGAGATCATCAGTAGTTCTGCGCGTGCATTCACACCCACAAATTCACACAGACCTCATTCGAATGCTAGTTCAAAAAGAAAAAGATTGTATGATGGTTATTATCAGCGAATAAAAAAATGTATGCAGTGTTTGAAGAATACGGAATAAAACATACCACTCTATGGTAACGGGCTTAATGGCGTTTTCCTAGTAGAGAACGGGGTGATCCACCAAGGATCACACCTGTTGAGGATAGAACTATTTTCATTTCAGATTAATTATGATTCACAGAGCACAATAACAAGGCGCGTGTGTAAAAGAACACTGAAAGAAATGAATGGCAAAGCAGCAAGAACTAGGCTTCCCTTCTATGAGGCATAATCAACAACATGCAATATGGGGATCATAAATACTCAAACCTCGTAAAAATTCCTCGGATTGTGTTCGAAGAGTATATCGACAAATAAACAAGTAGCATTCATCGATTATAATCATGCTAGGTTCCTCGCTATAGTAACTCCTATCCACAGACATCTGCAGACAACGGCAATGTCCATAGCCTGATAAATCATTGAGTAATCAGGTGATGTACAATGCAACAATAATCGGGTTAAATGACAAAAGGCTATGTGGTAACAGTAACTAATCTAATAACTAAGAAGTATCCGGAACAGTTCCAAAAACGCTCACCAAAGAATGTGTAGTTAATACGATCAGAAAACGACTTAAATTTCAAAGCATCAAAAAACGTTAATTTAATTGGCTCAAAATGAACGCGGATTTACCGCATGTCAAAATGCACAGCGTTTCACTAAGGAATATCAATCATTTGAACGCCAAATTCCTAATTTTCAAATTGAGAAACCGTATGATCGCATTACTCACCGCAATTTGAGTCACCGGGAGAAGTCGAGCTGTATCGACATGATTAAGGAGATTGATGAGTGAGAGAAGCACTGCCTCTTGAATTCGAACCGGATGAATACTATTCATGGTTGGACAAGAAGCAAATGCGGACATAAGGGCCTGTACGATTACCGAGTCTCTTCGAGTAGATGGGACCTGATTATCTGCATCGGAAAGCGTACGATCGAGTTGACGAGAATCCAGAGAATTGCGGAAATTCANCGTGTTCGGGGGCAAGCAAAACTACATATCGACAACAAAGGAATAACAAAAGCATTTCAATTAGGCTCTATTTAGATATAATTAGGGGGACAATTCACTGATTGCTCGCTTGAAAAAAATGCATTTACGTTAAAATCAACGGTTACGATTCGAGGGGTATGGTCACACTATTTTTAACAACAAGCGCAGGGGCTAATCATAATAGTTTTGTGCGCAAGTGCATGCTGTCGCGTAGCTCACGAACACGATTGCTTTTTTGAAACCTTAGATGGCTCGCCGGGTGTCAGGATCATGATTGCCGGTTTCTTCTTGACGTTATAGATCATAGTACACAATCACGCACATTCTCGTTCGCATCCGTACCGAAACATCGGAGACTGAAAGCCAACATTGATTCTGTATACCCAATTCTCTACTCTTCTTCTCTCACAGACTTTTTGACCGAAACTCAAATTTCCCTGTCGTCGAACACCATCCACCTTCATCTCCCGAAACACTTTCCACCCCTCTTTTCTACCCAAAGTTAGATTCTGCGGCCTTTTACATCAATTAGTGGACACCTCAAGAACATGAAAATTTGACATTTCCAATTGAGAATTGAGACTGAATGGGCTGAAGTTCCGACTAACCTCTTTCAGTCTTTACGTATGGTGATGTTTATTGTTCACCCCACGTTGGCGAATCTCTTGAGTTCTTATCTTGTACATTTCGCAATTGTTTGTTACGGACGACAGCTGCCGAGTTAACATATTGTGCGGGTTCCGTGATCGTAATCAGGTACGCTCGATACAATTTTCTGACACTTCGTCTTTGGGGCGCAAAGCAGAAATCAGATTCGGTTGTATTTGGTAAACATGGAAAAATATACCCTATCACGCTAAGTTGGGATGAAGAGCACACAGGAAAAGTCCATAGTTACGAGGACCCGCTATTCAGTGATATAAACAGGTAGCTTAAACCATGGGATTTGGAATGATGAACCACATAAGGCTATGCTGGGTTAGGCGTAGTATTGAACCGGACGACAGCAAAGCTGCCTACCACCAAGTTGGGCATCGGGGCTCGAACCTTGAACCAAAGGATCAAAAACACGCCGATGACAGCGACCAAAACACTGCGACACCACCACTAACCGTGGAGACACTCTCACTTTGGAAACAACCGGCGGATTTCGCTGAGGTGCATTTTACTTGTATTGTATCGCATTGAAGCTTTGACGAGTTATATACAAGATTACCATGATGGTGAATCCTCCCTAGTCAGTTGGAGGTTAACAACTTTCTGTGGTTCTAAGCGACCCAGTGTGGTTCGAAATCAGTGACAGCGATCATCTGGATTGCAACATTTCGTCGTTTGAGTTCAATTTTTTTATACATGAAATGCTGACATTGTTTTGATGGATGGACTACCCCTCCTTTTTATTTGCTGGAATGACCTTTCATAGTGCTAGAGCGGATAGAGAAAGAAAGCCAGGTGCCCAAGCAGTCTCGTCTGGCTTCTACTAATTGACGGTTGTGAGCAGCCATCGTGAATAGCTCACAGGGTCAAGGAGGTACGAAAGTCATTACAGCACGCCAAAGTGCAGTTTTATGGTAATGGATTGACCACAGCGATTTGTACGGTTTTGCTTGGTTCATAGTGCGTGCTTGGCTGCAATGTGCTACATTTGCCTCAATACAATCTGGTTTTTGGTTTTGATAACGATGACTAACGATGACCATTATCATATTACCGCGATTGGTACTCATAAGTGCATCGGTCTACTGTCGGTCTACTGCAGCATATACTAAAAAGGTCATGCATGTACGCCGGACTGCGATGCGTACACCTACTATTCACTTATACCAGCGCCACATCAACCTCGAACTACCAAAAGCAGAACAGGCACGCGTTTGAGCCTGAATCGATGAAGCAGGGATTCCGGAACAAAAAATTCCATTTGGAATAAAATCAAATATTCATACACGATCCAAGTCATACAGCACATCTTAGCATTTTCTGGGTGGGTGTCACATACTCAAAGTGCAAACATTTAGTCGCCCACTATTTAAGTAGTATGCATAAATGATCAGCCTAGTGCTTCATGAGCGCGACACCGCTTGCTCCAATACAGTCGGGTACAAAAACTCTTAGGTCCCCTTATTCACACAATGATTAAGCCTATTGGTCAACGTGAGCAACTAGAAATCTAAAGAGGAACTATTGGGAATCGTTGGTGTCGACAGTTTATGTACTATGTATTTAGCACCTGAGAAGAATAAACGAATGAGCAGTAACCGGACAATAAACACCGAGGTTATACAAATAGTAAATGCAATGGAAATCAGACTTGATCCCCTGAACCTCATGGATGGTAGTGATGGCTGAAGTGCAAACGAAGCTTATATATATAT